CTTTAGGGAAGTTTAGACAGAACCCCCAATTTCTCTTTAAAATTCATAATCCAAATGCCAAAAAGAAAGATGGAATTACGAAATATAATTAAAACCGAGTAAATAATACATACCCCAATCCATGTGGTGAAAATCGCCTCCAAAATCACCCAAATTCGAGCTCCATAGCTCCAAATATGAATAAAACAATGCAACCTTCGAATATAAAGAACATGACCGGGCATTCCGCTTTTGCGAACACAAAGCCACTTATGTGATAAGATTCCTGCTTCTGCGGAGACAACTGGAAACTCGATACTTCGCACATGCGGAAAAGAATCCTCTTTTGCGACAATGCAGGTGAGGCACAAATCGCGCTTCTGCAATACTTCACGCTTCTGCGCCCCCAACTCACCGCGCCCGCGCCTTCACAGATACGGCCATATTCTTGTATTTGTGGAGATTCCCAAACTCAACCCCTTTCTCTTCTGCGGCCGCTTCTCCACACTTGCGGACACCGCACCTTCGCCCAAAGCTCCGTATGTGCGATCACACCAGGACCCATGCCAAACCAGCATAGCCAAAATGATCCGAACCATGTTCGAAACTCACCCCGGCCCATCGGGACCCCGTCCGAATATACCAACAAATCCCAAAACATAACACAAACCTATTCGAGGTATTAAATCACACATAAAAATATCAAAATCATGAATTGCACCTCAAATCAAACTTAATGAACTTTTGAATTTTTAACTTTCAAAACTCGTGCCGAACCATATCAAATCAACTCGGAATAACTTCAAATTTTGCACAAAAGTCCCAAATAATATAACGAAGCTATTTCAATTCCTGAAACCACAATCCAAACCTGATATCATCATAGTCAACTCTCGATCAAACGTATGGACATTCTAAACCTTCAAATTGCCAACTTTCGCCAAATAATGCCGAAACCTTCTAGAAACATACAAATGCAAATTCGGGCATATGCCCAAGTCCAAAATCACCATCCGGACCTAACAAAACTATCAAAACTCCGATCTGATGTCTAATATATAAAAGTCAAACTTGGTCAACTCTTCCAATTTAAAGCTTCCTAGTTGAGAATCATTCTTCCAAATAAATATCGAATCACCTGAAAATCAAAACTAATGATTCACACAAGTCATAATATATCAAATGAAGCTACTCAAGACTTCAAACAGCTGAACGAAATGCAAATACTAAAAATAACAGGTTGGATCGTTACAAGAATGCATCAAAGGAGACACTACATTTCACCAAAGTTCTGTTTGACGCGTGATCCTCAAGAGAATTGGGAGATAGTAGATCCCTTCAAGTGATAATCTGGAGGATTTGATCATAAAGTCATTGCCAACATCAACATTTGAGAAGTTGAGATACAAGATTGGACTGTGTCGTCTCTGAGATATCAGATGAAGTTTTCATAATGGGAGTAAATACGCATTGTACTCCTTTTCGCTTTACTAAGGTTTTTTCCCAATTGAATTTTCTTGGAGCAAGATTTTTAATGAGGTAGCACACAATGCGTATTAGAATATTTGTGTATTCTTTTTACTTCACTAGGCTTTTTCTCCTTCAGATTTCTAGGCTTTTTCTCCTTCAGATTTCCTTAGTAAGGTTTTAACGAGGTACACTACATATGGACTTCCAAGAGGGAGTGTTATAAATCCACTGAATATGGATGTCCATTTTGTAACACTTTGGCAATTCATGTACCAAATGAATAAATCCATTCAATTCTTGTAATTTTTGGACACTCTTTGTAACCTATAAATATTATGCTATTCTCTTGCGAAAGATAACCGGAAAAACAAAGAAATAAAATCACCCTTTTCCTCTGACTATTGTTGACTTCTCTTCTAGAGCTTTAATTGTATAATTATAGCATTTTTTTACAATAAAGAACACATTGTTGAACAAGAACGTGCTCTTGGAAGGAATTGGGTTGAGTAATGGCTCTATTAGGAGTGGGTTTTTATCAGAATTGGGTATCTAAATTGGGTCTGGGTTATTCATTCATGAAATGCCACGTGTCCCTCGATCTAAATTAGAGGACATATCAGTGCCATAGTACAACGATAGTATCTGAATTAACCAAATAGTGAAACAAAAGGTAAGTTTAAATTATTTTTTGTAGTATATGGGTATATTTGATCCTTTTTTGATTCTAATAATATAAGTCTCACGTCATATTTCAAGTTTGCGGTTTTCACAAATTTTTATTTTTAAAATTTTTTTTATTATGAAAAATGGGGAAGAGAATTACACAGTGGGATTAAACCCTCACCAACAAAGTGAACATTTATAGATACAGTTTTCTTCCTTAAAAGAAATAGTAAATTAAAATTATAGCATAAAACCAAAAATGATATCTCATTTCAACAGAACAAACTTATTGATTGGATTCTAAATATCTCAAATTCATGTCATAACCCGAGAAAGTAGTTTTCAAATTTCAATGGTCAAAAAAACAAATTGAAAACAGTCTCTCTACCTTCATTAGGTAGAGGTAAGGTCCGCGTGCAGACTATCCTCTCCAAACCCCACCTATTAGGAATATACTGGGTATATTGTTGTTGTGGTTAGAAAAAAGACTAAAGTTTTTGATAGCTCCAAAACTTTTATATCTCATATCATTTAATTTGGTATCTTATGAGTATTTTATCAATGAAGAACTCTTAATGAGTACATTCTAACAATATAAAGTTCTTGCCATAATACCAAAGTAATTTCCGGATTCCATTTTTTCGAATACACTTTTTTTTAGGAAAACCGATAAATTGTAATGGTATAACTTCATAAATTCATCTCACTCATTTTAGAAATCATACACAGCCACCTAAACTTGTCCGAATTTTCCTCTTGGCTACTTTATCTAAGACTTGTTCCTATTGAACACTTATATTATTCAAATTTTGTACCCATTAGACACTTTTTTGATAACCAACAAAAAAATAAAGAGAGTGCAATACACTCGCCAATGATGTGGCAAACTGACGAATTAACTGATGACATTTGGCATTTGAGTCCAAACTAATAATTAACAAAATGAATTATGAGGGAAAAAAGAAAACCAATTTTAAGGAAGAAAAAACTAATTCTAAACCCCACCGAATCCACCTTAACCCATTTCCTATCTTTTGCTAAATCCATCAGCCACCATCTCTAACCACATTTTTTTTGGTTTTTAGTACTAATTCATTTGTAGTTTTAGATCTGATATTTTTAGTTTTTGATCTAGTATTTTTTGGAAAAGAGAAGAACGAGAATAGAAAAAGAGTGGCGGCAGTGGTGATCACCATTTTTTCCGGCGAGCAAAGTGGTGGTGATTGTCAGTATCAAAGTGAAAGGAGGAGATGGTGGTGGTGGTTTTCATATCCAAAAAAGATGAAAAAAGTGATAAATGGATTGGTGGCAGCGTCGATGACGATGATGGTAGAAGGTGGTGGTGCTGGTTCGAAAAATGAGGAAAAAACTGCTTGGTGGCAGCGATAATGGCAGATCCTAAGTTAAAACAACTGCGATGGTGGAGGAGATGAGGTGACTGAAGAAAGAAGAGAAAGGTGGATGGCGGCGGCAGCAGTGTCGGCGATGGCGCCAATGGTGGTGATGGGAGCAGAAGTTACGGCAAAGGAAGAATGAAGAAGAAAGAGATTTAAAAATAAACTAAAAGAATGAAGAAGAAAGAGACTTAAAAAAAAGCTTAAAAAAAGTACATCTCACGCTCTAAGTGGAGGTGTATCACACACACCAAGCCATGTCAGCAAAAAGTGTCTAATAGGTATAAATTTTGAATAATATAAGTGTTTAATAGGAACAAGTCTTAGATAAAGTATCCAAGAGGAAAATCCGAACAAGTTTAGGTGGCTGCGCATGATTTTGGCCTTCTATATTTTAGAGATAATAATGTAACAGCATAAATCTCTTAACGAGTATATACCTTGCAATCAATTTACAGTGCTCTTTTTTTTTCTTTTCAAAAACGTGAATATCCCAACATTAAGATGAAGTAATTACTTATATTTTTCTGTAATTTCATGGAGCAATCTAAACTCACGGTATAATATCATTGTTAGGAAAAGTTTGACAGATAATTGAATATAAAATATAGAGGACATAAATTTGAATAAGAATTTTCACAACAAAAAAAATTAAAAATTAAATAACGTACGAACTCATCGCTAAACTATATCTAATAGCTCGTCGATAACAAAAAAATTTAAGATAATTTATATACCTAAATAGAAATAGCGATTATTTTATTATTTAGCTACATAAATTCTCTGTCGCTCTGTTTTTTTAGTAGTGACTTGTATCTCTTTCTTTCGCAAACGATAATTCAAAGCAGATCACCATCAAAAAATTTCCGGAAATTAATATAATGTTATTTCCTTGAAAAACATAGCTTTGTTCTACAAACAAAATGCAATTCACAGTAATATATGTCGACAAGAGGATAGGTTGGAGAAACTTTTTGATGTTTTTGGTTTTTGTTTTTTACTTTTTGACGTCGTTCTTGATACTCTTGAGATTTTTTTTTTAAGAAAAATAAATAAAGATACAGGGAGTAAAAATATCGTGGTAAAAGTTTTATATAGCATTATTTTATTGGTCAGAATGTAAAATTGTAATTAGTATATTTATATATTATGAGAAATTAATCGAATGAATAAAAATTACATTGTAATTGGAAGTTGAAATAATTTACAAAAATAATTTGAATGTCCCAAAATAAAAACAAACGTACGGAAAATAGTGAAAGCCGTGTTCCTTGCGCTGTAACAAAGATATGTGCCTTGAAATAGAAAGTGCATAACAAGAAGTTGTGAAAAGCAAAAAATAACCCATTTACCTTTGGAGACCGGAAATTCCCCCTTATTGCAATCCTTTTTCAGGGAAAAAAGGATTGCAATTTCGTGGAAGAAGGATATATTGTGTGCTTCATTTGAATATCTATATATATATATATTATAATAATCTCGGGAGCAAGTGAAATGGGGAATAAGGCGAGAGCTTTCGTTCTTTCTTCCCCATTTCATCTGCTCCTTTTTTCCCTGTTATATTCCTTCATCTCTTTCCCCGTGGCCGTTCGTGGAGACGAAGTTAATCCCTTGAGATTGCCTTCTGAACAAGACAACCAAGAAATCTGCCCCTTGACGCCGCCGCGGTTGGTGACAGATCATCATTATTCTTGTCCCGTCAAGTGTTTTCGTCCTGACCCTGTTTGTGGGGTCGACGGTAAAACCTACTGGTGTGGTTGTGCGGATGCAGGTTGTGCGGGCGTGCGTGTGGTGAAACTTGGTTTTTGTGAGGTGGGAAATGGAGGGTCTGCACCGGTTTCAGGCCAAGTTCTTCTTTTGCTTCACATTGTTTGGCTTATATTGCTTGGCATTTTTGGATTGTTTGGGCTTCTTTGATTTCATTTAATCAATGTGTATTGGTTTTTTTCGATTGCTCAACTCCCTATCTTGCTACTTGATTCTGTCAACTTCTTTTTTATCATTTTCTCTACCTCATAGAAGTTAGATTCCTTTTTCTTTGGAGTAGTAAATTAATGTTTCCGCTGTCTGAGGGAAATTCATGGCTAATGCATGGGTTATCCTTTTTTTTTGTTTTCTTTATTTTTTTGTTTAAACCGATACGATTCATCAAATTCACATCATTTTTGACTTAATAAATTGTCCATATCTCAATGTTAATTGCATTTAAATTATAGATGAACATAATTGCGTCATGTATAAAATTATAGATGTCCATATCTCATTTTTGACTAATCCTATACATAATTGCGTCATGTATAAAATTGTAGATGAACTTGATTTGTTCTAAACAACAGTAGACATTCGTATGGAGGAGGAGATCTTTGATTCGCTTAGAAAATTGATAAAGTAGGTAATCTGTATAAAATTCTCAAGCTGACTCATAGTTGACGACTCATGAACATGTGACTAACTTTAGTTCTGTGCAAATGCACTAGACTTCTCTATCTGTTGCTCGAACCATCTCCATTTGCACCCTTTTTGATTCTTTACTCGCTCTGACCTCTCCATATATACTACAAGTAAAAGACAACATTTGTGACAGGAAGGCGCGCACACTCGTCATAAAGTCATTATTGTGACGGATTTGTGATAAAATATTGACTCTCATAAATTCCAGTGTAGTCAAAATTTTGTGACAGATGGAATCGTGGTTTGATTTTTTTGAATATCCTCCTTGCTCGGAAGGGTCCTGTATGGGGTAAAATTGATAAACGACAGGTGGATACTCGATGAGTTGACATTGTTTACCCGTAAAACGGTATATTTGAATTTGTAACGTGATTTATAGACAAGCAAATTAATTTGATCCCAAAATAATAAATGAAATGAAATGAAATGAAAGACTTATCGTTAAAATCGAGATAAGATAACAAATAGCTTGGTTCCGGGAGCAAGGCTTCGAAGACATCAATAAGAATATCAAAAGAAAGAAAATAAAGTATATTGAGCTTGGAATAATGTGGAACATAAGTTTGTTAGAAATTTCGTGTCCTACGATGGTTGTTGAAGTCACTATTTATAGTTACTCCTACGAAACAAGGTCATAGGATCAAGTCCCTCTTAAATGACAATTATGGGGGCCATTAATGAAAGTGTAAAGGCAGGCTATGAATGCCAAAATTTTCTGTAACGTATTGTGTATTTAATACTGAGGAATATTCTTCATTGAATGTCATCGAGTGGCAATATTCGTTGTCCTCGTTAGTAATATTCCTTTCGGGGTCTGCCTAATGCCAACTGAAGTTACTATCCCCGGTCTTGGTTTCTACTTGCCTCACTTTCCGTCTGTCTCTGGTTCCACGTATCGCTCTATTATTCGAGTATTTAATACGAACCGATTTTACCCTATACAGATAGTACCCTGCTTTCCGGTGACACATGTTTGTGTCATCGGGAAGTTGGTGAAGATACCTTTCTTGGCGTGAAATTTTCTGATCCCTTCTAAAAAGTTTCTGACGCTTGATTAGACGTAAGTCTCTCCGCATTTAATGCCACAAACACGTGTCACTCCACGATTTAGCAATACTCTCGCCGGTTCTCGAGGTTATCATGGCCATAATTTTAGCAGGCACCTATTTTTTTACTTATACGCCTCATTCTTCTTCTTTTACACTTCACAAATTTTCAAACTATCTCAAATTCTTTGCATTCAACTCTTTCTTGCTTTAACTCTTCTCTAATCTTCTTCTTCAAAGATCTCTTATTACCTTCTGCTAACCATAGTTTCCTCCTCCAAGAACTTAAGTTCTCTATAAAGCAAAGAAAGCACTGATGATGATGCCCCTACTACGGTGAGCACCATCACTCGTACAAGACTCAACACAGCCAAAGACTTCGAAGAGAAGTTTCCTTCTACAAGTTCTCGTACATGGGTTGTTGGCGTGTACTCTTCTTCCATCCGACCTTCTAGCATTCCTACTGTGAAGGATGATTGTGGTTGCCATGACCTGAACATCATCGCTCCCTGTTGCACCCTATTTGTGGTTCCTCTGTTGTTGATAAAAGAGAGTCGCCACCTAATATTTAAAGGTATACAAGGGTACCTATTTAATTACCAAGTCATATTATTTATTAGTCTGCTAACCGGTGAGATTATGGGTAAGGGTTCTTGTTCTTCTAAGGGGAAGGTGTTAGGCACCCCTTAAAATCTACCTAAGGTAGCTCCATAGGACTTAGACTAAGTTTGGGATCAATTATTTATAAAATGCTTTGATTAGTAATAAAGAGTGATGCTTACTGTGTACCTAAAGGGGAGAGTATGATACTAATGAAAGGAATGTGAGATCCTAAAGGGGTACGAATTTATAAAGACGTCCACAAGATATATTGAAAGAGTTTTGAAATAGTGGTCAAGATTCTTTATAAGCTTGTAAAATAGATTGTTTATGAAAATACTTGATTTGGGGGTGGTTATTTATAATTCTAAAGGGGTGTTTTGTATAAAAGTGAGCCAAAAATTTACCTTAGATTCTGAGGATTTTAAAGAAGAGATCATTTGCCGAAAATCCCTTAAGGGCGATAGTTTTTGAAGTTCTAATTTTCCCTTTTGAAAGTGAAGCTGAGATCTAATTTCCCTTTTTTGAAATAGAGCTGCTTTTTTGCTAAGTCTTGGGTTTTAAATTCCTTTAAGAAAACTAAAGGTGAGCGAAAAATACAATAATTTATGAGCAGATTATAATCAGCGAAATAACGATATACTACTAACTAATTTTTCTTTTTAATCCTATATAGTTTAAGGCTTGCCTAAGTTTATATTAAAGCATAAGAGAAAAACATGTGATCTAATATATGTGTTCTATACATGAGAGGTAAAACAACAATAAAGACATAACAAATACAACCAACATTTAATTAAACTAGCAGAAACAGTAAACTGAATTAAGGAGACAGTAAATAATGATAAAAGAGTTGAGGGAAAGAGGTCTGGACTTTGATGATTGGGCCTCAAAGAAACAGGCCTAGCGGTAAGAGATGCGAATACAGCTGATTTTGGACTCCCTGACGAAATGTAACAAGGCTGGAATGGGGCCTGAGTTCATCAGGAACCCACAGGACCAAGTAGATGTACATGTCAAAAGAATAAGAAAGTCATTAGATATACATATACATATATATATATATATATATATATATATATATATATATTATATATTCAGCATACTCTAATAATAGATTGATGTTCTAAACGTCAATGCCACACAAGAGAGGGGGGTGATTTGTGTGGTACCCAATTTTCGCTTAAACTGCTTCTGGAAGGACCTGGTTCTTCTAGGTGTACTAACGACTGCTGTTTGCGGAATTAAAAGTACATAAAATAAAGAACACAAAGATTTTTACGTGGAAAACACCTGGCTCAAAAGGTGAAAAAACCACGACCTACTACTCAGTAGAATTTTCCCAAACTTCCACTAAAATCACTGAGCCAAAACTGCATTTAGAAAACTCTTTGTAAACCTATGGATTAACTCTAATCCCGTTGTAGCAACCAGCCTCTAACTGCTGCGACAACTTCAAGTTAACTCTAACTTGAATACTCAAAATACCTATTACAATTGCTTCTAGATAAAGCTGAAAGGTACAATATGAAACACCTACTACAATTGAACTAGAAATAAAGAAAGACACATAAAACTCTTTATGGTGCTAGTTCTCCAATCTCGTTCATGTAGCTTCTGGTTTGCACACTTGAATCACACACGAACTGCTTGCAAAAAGCCTTGCTATTTTGCTCCCAATTCACGTTTAACTTCTGCGTTTTTGTGCAACACCTGTAATGTGAGAACATCCTGCAATTTATAGAGTTAGTAGATGAAGAAATAACTAGAGTTCTGATGCAACTCTTCCTTGGTGGAAGAGTTCTAGTTGATTTCAACTTCTAACTCCTTCCCTATCTTGACTTGTATTCTCTTTGATTAAGGACTCCTTCTCCTTATCAATTATGCAACCTTTTCGATCAGGAGATATTAAATACACCAAGTTAAGCTTATCTCCTTCACGTACATCCCACATGCTTGAATCTGCCCGTTTTTGTGAACCTGAAGGATGGACCACTGGATGGACCTGGTTCATGTCTGAGTTCCTTTGTCAGTCTTCAAAACTAACCTTTACTTGGGCCAACAAATTCCCCCTTTTTGATGATGACAAACACTGTGCTTTTCATACACTTAGGCCCTGCCAGAACTGAGCTCAAACATCAACACAATGTTAGAAACATTTTTCCTTTATATCACTTATCATCAAGGACCAGGTACATTAGGTTATAAACATCACTGTTCAAAGTGTAAACATCACTTGTTTAAAGCACAACCTCTTTTCCCCCTTTTGGCATCATCGAAAAGTTGTATAAAAAATGTGAGATAACCAGATTTTAAAACTTACTCATGGCCACTGGGGCTACTTCAAATGCAATCATGAATTAATCATCATAGATCAAGCTAAGAATTTTAACTATCAAAGAAATATAAACAAACAGTTAGAGCAAAAGGCAGTGAATTTCATTGATGATTGATAAGATTCTACCACAAACCATAAGAAGAATTAAAAATACTGAAAACATGAGCAAAAGAAACAAAAAGTCTCGAATTGGGTCACTGGTTGATCTACACTAGGCAAGGATTTAAGGTTTGGAAGAGGTAGGGGCTGGGTTATTTGCTTGGAGAGTTTCAGCATGTCTTGAAGAATTCCATCATTCTTCTCTTTTTCCCTTGCAAGTTCAGTTCTGAGAACATCTCTCTCAGATTCTACCTCAACCAATCGTGTCTTCAGCCTTGCTATCTCAATATCCTTTGCCTCACTCTCCTGTACAAAGACTCTGACTTTGCTATTGATAGGTGTCTTTTTAGATGAACTAGGTTCATTAAGAATGACATTGACTT